GTTAGGTTTGGGGGGGTTAGGGTAAGGTTTTCGCTTTATTTTTACATTTATCGATCACAGCACGATGTTTTCGTCGTGCTGTGATGACGTCACGTACGCGCTTTCGTCGAGCGCGCTTTTGTCTACTGCGGTTTTGTGGTGGAACCCTAGTTCCATGCCCTGCAATGTAAAGTGGGACAGGATAGCAAATCAGGATCTTAGGGCAACTCTGTCTGTAGAATACCAGTAGTGGAGGATAGTAGAGAAGAACAGACATGGCACTTTAAGTCCTTCTAAAACTATCAATGAAAAGCAACTGTAGTTTCATTTTATTTGTCCTGTCTTGATGCATTTAAAAAAAATGTGGGAAAAGAGATGGGAAAGCATTTAAAATATCCAGTAAACATGTTATGCAGTATATTAAGCATTATATTAGGCATGTTAGGCAGCATATGAGGCAGTATAATATTCAGTGAACATGTTAGGCAATACAATGAAAATGTCATCTAGAAACTATTTTATCCTACATTATGACATAAGAGAGAATTCTGGACTTCTAAAATTTGAAACTCTGGTGGATGTGTAAGTGTCTGTATGTATATGAATGGAGGGTGGGGATTGTGAGGTTGAGGAAGTTTATTGCTATGTTTCAGCTGTACCAGGATTCTTGATATGAGTCATGAAATTAGGATTCTTAAACATTGCTAGAAGGCTACAGTAATCACTTAATGAAGATTTGAAAGAGTTTACAACTGCAAACTGTCTCTGCATTCCAATGAATGAAAGGCAAGCAAAATTGAATCAAATGTTACTGGGGAAAAAAGCCCCATCTTTAAACTAAATTTACAAACACAAAACTTTCTCAAATGCTATATCTATGTATAGAAATGTTTAGGAACAAACTATGAAAATAGTTGATCTTTTTAAATCCAGATTTCCAAAGTGGCTATTAATTTTAGGGAAGAGGGTAGAGATCCATATATGCCAAATGCCTCCATCATTTGACGATTTCCTCCATTTAAATGGTGTGATCCTTAAATACTTTGTAGATAGAAAATAGGCAAGATTTTCTACCTTCCTGGGAAGAAAAAAAAACCTTCTAGGATTATGTAATATAGATTTGACCTCTTTGAAGCTGAACATTGCATAACTTCTGAATATTTAATAAATTGCTTGAAACTGCGGATACCTCTATGTTGTGGCTCAGCTTTTTAACAACACTTGTGATTGTCTGGATGTGATTTTCCAATAGCTGGTGAGCTGCTGCCTCCCCTTGCTGAGAGTTCTTATTTCCCTGAAGGTATGAAACAAGGCCATCTTTGATCCGAAATGCCTGATCCAGAAGCACAGCAGTAGTACGCTCCTGATTAGATAGCCGGTCTTCCAGGGAATTCACTCTGCTTCCAGATACATTAGGAATTGCTGGTAGAAATGGCTGGCTTGGAGTTCTATCCAAAGAAATCACATGAGAGAAGTAGAAAGAAAGTTAAAGGTAAATCCTATATTACTGCATCCAGCTACAGCAACAAGATAAAATAATGAAGTAACTTTAGATGGCAATTTCTGCCTATAACTCATGTGGCATATGAGTAATGAATGACTCGATATCTGAAAAGCTTTTAGATTAGAACAGGTGGAGAAGAAAAAGAAGAATTCAACTTTGGAAGAATGACAGATGTTGTGTTGTTAAAAAGTAAACACAAGAGTTGCTTTTCCTATTTGTTTTTTATTTATGGTCCAAGACCAAGTCATAAAATTTAAAAATATACTATAAAACTATAAAAAATCTTTTAGTAGTAATAATTAAAATGTGAAAATAACTTTCTATTCAGTTTCAGCAGACTTCTGATGCCAGGTTCCAAGATTAAGGGACAAACATATTTCCAACCCTAGGAGCACAATTGCTCATGTGGTTAGGATGCTGGCTTGACAAGCTGCAAACTCATGTTTGAGACCTGAGTGCTGCCATGGGGTGGGGTGAGCTCCCATTCTTCACTCCAACTCCAGCTCCTGCTGGGGACATGAAAGAAGCCCCCAAATGGGCATCCCCAGGCAATGGTAATATCTCTGGCTAATACTTTCAAACTGGAAGTGTTGCCTCCGACACAAGTGCAATGCAATTTCCAATCATCTGAATTCTTCCATGTACATGTTATATAAACATTTCAATTTATACAATATTGTATGTGTTACTATTTGCCTTGTCTTTTAGAACTGGGCCTAAAAAGCCAACAAAGAATTAGCAAATTATTACGCTATGATTAAATAGCTAGCAAAAATTTTACTTGAGCCATAATAGCTGGCGATATATTCACCAGAAAGAATGTATGTGTGTGTGTGTGTGTGTGTGTGTGTGTGTGTGTGTGTGTGTGTG